ACAGCTTTTTATCCGTGCATCACTCAGACATCACTTTACAGACGTGTGAATCTGATGGTTGTTCAACTTGAGACCTCAATCAAACATGTCAGTCGGCTTCAGCTAAGCTCCAAGGCCAAAACATTGTTCTGCGATGCTTTTGTGCAGGAATGTCTGTACGCGTGCACACCTGAGGTTAACTGTGTGTATTTACATGCCTGCTTTGCCTCCTGGGGTCTGTTTCATGAAGCAAGTTCAAATAAAAAAGCCCCATTGGAATGGGATTAACATTACAGACGGAATCACATATTCACTGTGCTCCTCATTCCAGATGACATTTTAACCGTTGTGAAATTGCAGGATGTGGTCCGTAATAGGGATGGATGTTCTGCAGGAAAAAGAGAGCCAAAGGTCTCCTCCGGGGGGGATTGGGGGAAGCGGGTGGACATGGGGGGCCAATTGAAGAGGATGCAACGAATTTGAATTCCACTCCTTTAATCAAGTCTGAACACACGGACATGAAACTCATATTGAAATCATTCAGTGTTGCTTCCACTTCCCGGGGACATCATTATCTTCCAAGTTCGCTGTGAATAAATGCCCGTAAATCCGCTTAGAAATCTTAGAAATTAGGCTGTTGAACCTGCCAGGGAATTGTCACAGTTTAAAGTTTTCTCTGAGTTATCCTGTGGTAGTTCTCTGTACTGCTGATAGCTCATTTGGCATAATTTAATAGTGTTAACTTGTGAAAATATGATCAAATAGAGACAAAAAAAACTCCCAAAGGGTCTGAAAAGAAATACTACCACCTATTGTAAGAGATTTTGATGGCCTTAATTAGTTTTCTTCGGCTTTCAAGTAGACCTACAGAATGAACGTTTTCAGAAACATTTTTGGCTTTGTGTTTATATTTCCACACAGATTTCAGCTCGCAGTGGAAGGGAACACAAATCCATTTTGAATACAAGTATGCCATCCAGGCAGGTTTTAAACCAACAAGTTGTTCATGATGGATTTAACTCTACTCTCAGGGATTTTCAATGACTTGGAAATTTTCTTGTATTCATGCCCTGAATGATGCTTCCCAGTAACTTTCTCACAGATTTTTTTTGGAGTGTTGTTTCGTATTCAGGGTGCAGGTAAAGCCAGGAGTACTAAACGAAGGGGATATGGTGTAAATGTCCCTTGAGCAGGTAGTCCTCAAAAGCTGATTGAAGAAAAACACCAGTGAGGAAGGCCACCAAGACACTTATGAGTCCCGTCAGCGAGTTAAAAGCTAGCATCCACCACCATATTTACACTGGGCGTCTACCAAACATCTTACATGATGGCCTAAAGGCAAAATTTTGGTCTCAGCAGATCAAACAACCTTCTTCCAGTTGACTTCAGAGTTTCGTCACTCTCCCATAGAGCTCTGACTGGTGGAGAACAGGCAGGTTGTAGACACCGTCTCTCCAATCTCAGCTGCTGAAACTCCCTTCAGAGGAGTCATAGGTGTCTTGGTGGCCTCCCTCACCGGCCTCTTTGTTACACGGTCACTCTGTTTTTGAGAACGGCCTGCTTTGGACGGATTTATGCATGTGTCATATTCCTTCCCTCCCCTAATGATGGATTTAAATGTATTCCAAGAGATAATAAATGACTTAGAAATGTTCTTGTATCCATCCCCTGACTTTTAATACTCTTTTCACAGCAACAAAAAAATGGCATATTAATCTGAAATGTATTTGGGATAGAGCACAAACAAATGTAGTCCAGCAGAACACATCTCAAAATAGAATTGAGAATGCAGTGTGGTTGTGTTAGAATGTGATTTTTTTGGGGGGGAGAATGATATTTAAAGGCAGTAAATAAGTATGAGAATGATGATGAGTCTGTAAAGTCAGTTTCTTTAGGAGTAAAACTGTTTTCTTTTTGACTCACGCTGAGCTTAGTATTATAAAATGTTACCCACTTAAAAGAGTAAAAAACCAGAAGAGAGGAAAACGGAGAAGGAAAGTAGTTAATTGCTGATAAGGTCTATCTGACTGAAATTTTTTGCATTTATAATTTACTGAGAGGTAATTAACAGCGTGCAGATTATTTTTCTAATGAAGGACAACGGAGGGTATAGCCTGCTTTTTTTTTTTTTTCCAATTATCCCCACAAAGTCACCTCACGTTATCCCGAGCTGCAGTGACGAAACACACCACGACGTCTTTAGGAACCCTGTGCGAATGATGACTCAATTTTTTTTCCGCCGGTCCGACTGAATGTGGGCTGATCTTCTCGAGTTAACCTCTGGAGCAGGTTAGCTGTGCAGCGTGCGTTACCATGACAACCACCCCCCTTCCCCTCCCGACACCTGAGCAAATCCCCAAGACAGCCGGATAATCCACTAATCTCGCTTTGTGGTACAGGCCCTTTGGCTTCTTGTTCTGAGCCCAAAAAGATAATAAATAAATAAATAAATAAGCGGTTGGAATAGCCTGTGAGTCACTTCAGACATTTTTCCTTTAAATTGCACATTTTTTCTCGTAACGAGCTGTGTAGGTTGTGTCGCTCAGTTCACTGAGTTCACAATTACCTCACTGTCACCTGAGGATACTTACAGGTGATGAAAATGCACAAAAGTTTTTATAAGAACAAACTCCCTGACAAGCCGACAAAGACAAAGTGCACTGCAAGCTTCATTATCCAAAACTTAATTCTGAGACTCAATTCTGAAATGACAGGTCTTCCAAAAAAAAAAAAAGAAAAAGCAAGATGGCAAACACAAGCCAGTGATTATGGGAAATTACAGGTGACTTGCGATTTGATATAAAACACTCGTTTAAAAAGATGTTTTTCAAGTAGGTTACAAATTTCTGTCGAAGAGCGGGAACACAGCTGTTGCGTGTCACGTGGAAACACCTGCTTCCAGTTCATTAAGCCTTGATCCCGTCACTCTCGTCGCAGAATAGAGCTCAAGTGGTCGTGCTGGTTTCATATCCTCGGCTGCATAATTAAAAAATTACTTGAAACCAGTCGCCCGTTTGAAGGGGCATGAAGGGGATATATAGTTATATCCTCCTACCTTCCCCTCCATGTTTTTCTTGGTGCTTCACTCATTGGACCATCTTTTCCTGTAAAGAAAATAAAATAAAAATCACTTACTACTTGAAACCATCGCCCACATTTTCTGAATTAATTGATTTGATGCTATTGAAACAACAAACCTGGCAGGAATATAAAATATAACAGTATTGAATTTGACTCTGTATAGTTGGTCTTTTCATATAATGAGGACTTAGGGGGTTCTACAGTACTTGTATATTCAAATTAAAACTGTGCTTGTTTCACACCCCAAGAGGTTACATGATGTTGTTGTGTTTTCTCTAGCGCTACCTGTAGAGCGCATATGAAGGATTGGACGTAGCCTCAGGGTCTGAAAAATGAAGCCTGCGCTGAATTGCCTCAAACGTGCATCCTTTCCTGAAGCCGTCACTGATTGATGACTCTGCTTGCAACAAGAATCACAAGAAATCTATAAGAGAATGAATCTACTTCTCATTTGATTTGTTTCCCCGGTAGACATGATCCCTCTTAGACATGCAAAGCATAACACTGTTGCTTCTTCAGTGTCAAATTGCGGCACTTTCCACACAAATAAGACACACACACTCGATGCATCAAAGGAGGTGTAGGTTTTCGTGTCAAATTGGTCATTGTTTTCCTTTGTGACGCCTTGTGTAATCTCTCGTCTGTCCATCCCGCACGCTTTTCTCATCCCGTCAGCAGGTTGTTTTCATCCTGGCCTGACGCCTGTAGCTTTGTAGTCATCCTATGAACACGACACTCAGCTTTGCAAACCATATCATGATCCCTTAATCCCATAATTATGTCGTTTCAGTGCACCGTACTTAATATGGCTTAGGGTGCTATCACACTTATGGTTCGTTTTGTGTGGCTGTGTGGCAAAATTACAAGGTAGCTGGAGTTATTTAGCAGGTAATTGGAGTCCTGCCAAGTCAGAGGAGTTTCTATGGTGGAGATAGAAAAAAAGGTGCTCCAAATGTTCATGCACGAGGTAAAAATTACAGTTTAGAAAGCATTCACGCTGCTTGGAAGTTTTCAACCTTGTATCACGGTCGATATAATTTTGATTTTTTGACAAAAATGTACAAAAAAAGACTTGTTGATGTCAATGTGAGAACAGATTCCTACAAAGTAATGTCATTGAATAAAAAACATGAAGTAAGTGATTGCATAAATATTCACAGAATTAACAGAAAGACTCTGATGTCAAAGTGAAAACAGTTTTTTGCAAAGTAATGTCAGTTATTTAAAAATGTAAAACAAGTGATTGCATAAATATTGGCACAATTTACAAAAGAGACTTTCATGTCAAAGTAAAATAGATTTTCTACAACATGATGTCAGTGATTTAAAAAATATAAAATAAGTGATGGCATATGTAAAGTCCTTGTCAGAAAGGCAAAATTATATTAGCCATGATTCAATATTGAAAAGCAATAAAAAAAAAAAGGGAGTTAATACTTTTTTTTTTTATTGGCTCGATAATCAAGAGATAATCCTGAAGTCCTATCATCAGTCTGTGTTGTTCAGTACTCTCAGCATTTCAATCTGTTTTTCTTGACATACTTTTCTCACTTTCTCTGTCCTTATATTGTCCACCTGATTGAATTTCAGACCCTTCTAGGAGCTGCTGTGAACTTGTTGCATTCAGGAGTGGGGTATGCAGCATGTGTAGGTGGAGACAATAATAAGGATAGTTACTGGTGGGAGCAGAGAGGTTGTTGTTTTTCACACTACTTACTCAAAATGCAACATATCTGTGCAGCTGAATACCATTCTCTTCCATGTATTTGCACTGTTCTGAGTGGACAGCGGTCATGTCTTTGAAATATTTGCACCTTGATGGATTGATTTGTGCAGAAATCTGCTCAAAAAAAATAGGAATTTCCTGTGAATACAGCTTTTAAATTGTGCACATCCCTAATGTCTCAATTGCATTGCTTTTCTTGTCTTGTTTCCCTCAGAGCCAAGAAGAAGACCAAGCCCTTGAACCTTAAGATCCACAGCAGCGTGGGCAGCTGTGAGAATCTGCCCACGCAGCGCTCACCCCTCCACAATGAACGTTCTCTGCGATCCTTCTTCTTTCCCTCCTTCATCCCTTCGACACCTCCCGTCCATGCCGAAACACCCTCTGCAAGTGAGTGAACTCATCTTTTGTTAATCAGCTCGCACTCAAGCTTTTATGAAATGAGATTTTTTAATGCCTTTAATATATCCCATTCATATTCTAGTCCCCTTCTGACATCTGCTTATTTAGTTCGCCGGTGCTGTTTTATTTCTGGGATGTCGTTCTGCTCTCTCAGTGAGGTTAAGTCACAAAGTCTAGTTCAATCTGTGGATGAAAACTGCACTTTCAGAACCCCAAATGAATCTTTGTTGCATCTTAGAAGACAAAACTGTCCGACCCCGTGCACTGCATTTGACTATTTTTTAAAATTCTGTTTGATTTTGCACTTTCTTGTGTCGGTCCGCCTTGACATCTGAGCGAACCATTATTGCTCTTACAGCCATAACTCTTTCTGTTAAAAAATACTTAAGTACGGCTCTGTTGGTAAATGCTGCAAATGAATAATCAGGCCATGCCATAATGACCGGAGGTGGTGTGTTGCTGCACATCGGCAGCCTTATTGGCTGATACATTTATGGGCATAATGCGGAAGCCATTAGATTGAGGAGGAGATGGGGAACGGCAGAGAAACAGAAAGTAATGGAAGCCGAGTCAATGAAAGGAGTGATGAATGGTCGTCACCTAGTGTTAATAGTTGGAGACCTCCACTAACTGGTATGTGGGGCACAGCGGTGCATATTTGGCGGTAGAGGCATGACATAGAATAATCACTCACTCTGTATGCATGAGAGGACAGAGACGGAAAGATCCGCAAGAGACCGAGATGACAAGCGCTGCTGTTGATATACACACGGGTGGCAAATTAAAGGAAAACCCAACATAAACTTGTCTCATGTGCCGTTAGAGCAGCTCAGATGCACCTTTGTGTTGATTCTCCACGTGTCTGGAGGGATGGAACATGTTCATTCTCAAAGTTATTCCCTCATTTGGTGTTCTGATGATGGCGGTGGTGAACACAGGTGTTAAACTAGGTTGGAATGCGGTGACTGTGAAGGCCGCAGCATATCATTTACATCATTTTGATATTTAGTAAACCATTCAGTGACCCCTAGTTGGTAGCACTGTTTCCTCGCAGCTAGAAGGTCGCTGGTTCACATCATCTTTCCGCGTGGAGTCTCCATGTTCTCCCCGTGCAGCGTGGGTTCTCTCCGGGTTCTCCGGCTTCCTCCCACACAGTCCAGAAACATGTTGAGGTTAATTGGTGATTCTAAATTGTCCGTAGGTGTGAATGTGAGTGTGCTTGGTTGTCTGTCTCTAAGTGTAGCCCTGTGATAGACTGGTTACCTGTCCAGGTGAACCTGCCTTCACCCTGAGTCAGCTGGGATAGACTCCAGCCCCCCACGACCCTAGTGAGGATTAAGCGGTGTATAGATAATGGATGGATGGTTCTGGATGTGAATTTGTTGGTATAATCTCACTTGCTAAAGTGTTGTACCAAATTTAAGACTTTTTTTTCCATTTTGCTTTCCAATAAGGTGTCCTTTAAAGAGGGCTAATACTTTTAAATGAATCATTATTAAATATGAATAAGTGCTTTACTAATCCTTTTGAGCTCAATAAGCCGTTAACAAGGACAACTCTTGTTCCAGGTTGTAAAAACCTGTTTCTTATCCTCCTTTTAATCATCCTCTAATCATAAATCATTAATATATACATATTAACAATTAAAGAAGGATTACTGCTAAAAGGAAAACAAACCAACCAAAAAAAAAAAACACCACATGCACTGTAAAATGTGAAAAGTTGATCTGACTTAAACAAATCTAGGAAACCGGTTGCACTCAAAATAGGCAAGTAAATATAACCATTAGTATAACAGTACACAAGTACACTAATGTGACTCAAGTAAGCGTTGGTGTTACCTTTTAGAGTGTGCACATTAACGTATTAATATTTATAAAGACCTACTTTAGTTGGTTAAATGGAAGGGGACAAACTTCTGCTTTTAAAATTATTTATTACTGATTAACATTTTCTGCTGGAGGCACTGACTTAACTACTCTGCAGATAATTTTACTTGGAACAATATGTTTTCTGCTCATTCTCTGAATTATGAAAGTGTAAAACTAGTTGAGTTAAACTGACTGAACTTGAGAAAACAAGTTCAATAAACTTAAAATGTTAAGTTGGGTCAACTAGACATAGTTACAGACAGACCTGCTTTCATTGTACATTTTCTAACTTTTAAGAGTTTATGTTATAACACTGAGAATTCACAGTCTCATGTGTTGAAACCATTTTTTCTGTCTTGGTAAAAGACAATCTATGAAGCTGCTCCTGATTATAGTGAGATGTATTAAAAGTCTTAGGGCAGGGGTGT